ACTCGTAATCATTATTCAAGGATGGTTTGTGTGAAGTTTGGAGCAGATCCGTCAAAAGGGCTCCGCCCCAGAGGGTTCTAAGGGCTCCAGTGTCACTCTTGGAACTACAACGTTTACAAATCTATATATTAATTTGAAACTGGTTTTCTTTGTGACAGTTAATTTAAAAGAATGGCTGGGCGTAGAAACTCGGTAGAGGTGTCTAAAGAAAGGTATTGGTCTGTAGATGAGCCATCAAAAGAGAAACATGGTGAATTTCCTTGGGGCTTTGCCCCAGTGGCCTTTAAATTCCCATCCCATGTTATTCTTATGGAGGAAAACAGGGTTTTTGTCACAGCTAATTGAGAGAACGGCTGGGCGTAGAAACTTGGTAGGGGTCTCTAAAGAAAGGTTTTGGTCTGTAGATGAGTAATGAAAAGATAAACGAGGTAAATTTCCTTAGAGCTCTGCCCCAGAAGCCTTTTAAGTTCCCTCAGCAGATTTGTTTACATTACGACCATATGCAAATTTTACACTACTTTTTTATGAAATAGCTGTTAATGTTTGAATTGTGATTTACTAAATTTGTCAAAATGAAGTATTTGCAATGGTTTTTTCAGATTTTAAAATTAATTTTCTTCTGCATCATGTCATGTTTTGCAATATAATGTTCTATTACCAAATCAGTGGAACATCCTAATATCACATTAACTCTTTAAATTAATTCTTATGGAGTTAACTTATATCTATTGTATGGGTTGGTTACTGCCTTTTTTACCACTTCTTGGAGATTGTACGTAGGCATGTTGCACGTAGACAATATTCTTTGGCGTATTGCATCTGTAGACGATATTTGGGTTGGTGTAATTATTACAATGGAAAAACGTGATAAATCCTGGACAATTTGATATACTAAAAATAAAAACGAATTAACACTGTGCTACATTAATTTCTTGAGCAATCATTGAAAGAGCCGATTTGCAAACAATGGAAACATAGGAAAGACAAAAAACATAACCAAGTAGAACAAATATAAATAATATTTTTTTTTTCATTTATAATCGTTATTATAGAAAATCTAATGCGGCTATGAGTGGGAAACATTTGTAGAAAACACTAAAAAACTAAATCAGCTTTTGAAAAAAGATAAGATATTTACAAAAAAAATTTGATTATATCTAACTGTTGTGTACATCTTGTGTATTTCCATAATCTTTGAGGCGACTCTTATAAAGTCATCGGAAATTATGACTGTTATTCGTTTTTAAAAACGCCTGTAATGCTTTGCAATTGCTCAAATTCGAGCAACAGGTACACTAGTAAATATCATTTTAAAACAGATGTTAACTTTCACCAACTGTTGGTTTGAATAATCACAACATTCTGTATTAGTCATGATTTGGAATATTGCCACAATATATCCACAGAATGCAGCAGAGGAAACTATTTAATTTTTAGATAAGTCCAAATATATTAAACCCCAATCGCAGCACACCTGTTCACTCAATAACGTTTGAATTCTCCCTACTGTATTAAAAATGTGAACATAAAAAGTAAAGACCTTTATCAAAGTAGAAAATTTATACATTAATACACCTAATAAATATATAAAGATATGGATTATAAAGAACAAATTACCATTTAAAATTATAGTTCTTAGCGCAGCAACGCGGGACGGTTAACTAACTGCTAGCTGTGTAATAATAAAAACTGTTCTAACACTATAATATATACTACAGATTAAGTTAGTTTCAATTTGTAAATAACATAATGGTTATTCGTTTATTCAAACTGACAGTCAAACAGTCACCTGGTTTTTGTCGAATATCTTTTGCACGGTTTAATCATATTCATCAATCGATTTTTTATTCAATTAGTTGTTAATCGTATAAAAAACTATTGCATGACAAACTTCAGGAAAATAACTCTTTCAATAGTTGAACCACTAACGAATGAATGTAAGCTAACATCAAATGTTATATTTTTTGTAATATGTCAACGGTTGAAAAACACTCATGGCTGTAAATAAATAGCTTTGGTAAAGCAGCGCCTCTTTAATTAAACGTCCAAACGATATATTGGGCTAATTGATTTTTGTCGTAAATCGACACAGTGTCACTCTGTATTTAAAATCTAAAAAAAGGTTGTTGAAATACCTGTATGAAAAACCTTTAGAAAATAATGACTTTTAAAATAAAAAAAAATAAAAAAGTAATAATATAATTCTATTTTTTTGTTATAAATGTTTTTTCCTAAAGGTTAGAGCAAGCATTACATTTTTAAATCTTTGATGACAATTTTTACGAAATGTTTTGAATAATAATATTTATTCAGTACACATTAAAACTAAGTAACTTTAGATTTCAATTTACCACGACAAATTTAGTGCTGGTAAGCCATTTGGAATAGAAACTCTTTCAGAGCTTTGGAGAAGAAGTACAACACCCATCCATGTAATAACCTCTTTCTAGGAGTACTTCAAAGCATAGTTTACCAAGCCACACACAACCAAGCAAACTTCTAAAAACAAACGAAACTTTTCCAATTTACAGAGCAAAAATAGTTTCCCTTGGTGGAACCCTCGGCTCTGGGCAAGTTCTGTATTGCAGTAATTTCTCCTCAGGCAATGTTGTAGACCAATAAATCTAACTGACTTTTCGTCAGACAAAAAATGTCGCAGTTCCTAAAATAATGGCTTTATAAATGCAAATTATTGTACCTCCTTGGCAATAGATTTTTACAGAAAATGCCATAAAGTCTTGTGGATACGTTTCATTAATAGTTTATGTGCCTTGAAGTGCAAATACAATTAATGACTTTGACAGTGCAAGATTGGATAAATATTATAATCCAAGATAGGGAAGACTGTCAAATGGGTGTTGTACCCCCGCCCCCTAACTATAACCTACGAGCCACTCATCATATAACAAAAAAATAATAAATATAGTTACAATTAATTCTTTAAAAGATACTAAATATTTTTCAAAAATCTTGAATGAATGTACATAAACCGATGGATGTGTAATATATGACAAATATTTGTTAAGTAATATTTTGAATGAACTGAATTTTTTAATCAGCAACTTGTAAATTCTTTGTACAATAAAAATCTCAGTTGTAAAAAAATTAAGCCTCTGAATTGTTTCGTTGTTGTAACAATAGATTTACCCAATTCTACGAGAAGATAAATAGTGAGTAGGATTTTTAAAGCTCATAAAAGGGGGAAATATATATTATTATCCGTGCTAATTTGCAATTTAATTATGTGCACATAGATATAAATGTTTAAGTGCAATGTTTTACTAAAATTCCTTTAAATTGTTTTGGGATGATACGATGGCACATTTATTTTAATTACCAATTTAATGTATACAAACAAAGTATTTACCTATGTGACCTTTTCAAACAACATCATGAATGGGAACTAACTGCAGATATAATAAATAATAAGGTCCAGTTTATGATTTGATTGGTATATAGCGAAGAGTTTATTATTTAAGTATTGAAAGAAGTGGTATTTGACGAAAGCCAATTTCGCGCAACCAAAACCAATCAAGGAGGCTGATGACTTGACGAATGGGTTCCTTAACTTGATTACATTATTGATTGCTTTCTATAAACTTTAGCTTACATTCCGTGGTTGGATCAACTTTTCTTATTTTCACTCTACACAGCATTTCACAGTTTGATTTGCTAAAGCTTATCTGACCTAAACAGAATTAAATCGTTGGTTTGTAAATCACAGTTATTATTCTAGAATCTGACAGCAACATTATTGAATTAAAATGTTGTTATAATAAAAATTTTAAGTATATAAAAATACCTATGATAAAACGTTTAAATTTAAAAGTGTAAGGCAAATAATTAGTCGTCCGTAGGCACGCGATTTGGTAATAACGATACAACTCTTGTTTAGTTTTTGGTATCAAATTAGAAAAGATTGTGCCTATTACGGAGAGACCATCTGTCACGTAGTTATGATAAGGCATTTTTATCTTAAAGCTTCAGAATTAATTCTATGTAACCACCTTAGATGTTTTGTGTTTAACTTGTTAAGTTAAATATACAAAATCTGTGGTTTAGACCAGTAAAATGTGTGTAATTGTTTTACGTAGAACTAGTTGACACAAGTCATAAAATTCTTTAGGCATAAAATAATTTAGTTTTACAGCAATTACTGTACCGAAAAAGTGTATGCAGTGATCTTATCACCATCCATGTGTTGGTAAGAATGTCAAGAGTGGAAATGGTTTGTAGTTTTAGCGTCACTCAGAATACTAGAGTCCACTTACCCAAACATGTGGGTGCAAGATGCTGACAAAGGGTTTGTCATGTATTGGCGTCGTCACGTGGACTGCCGGAAGTTTACTCGCCCTCTAAATGTTTGTTTGTGATTGCAGGGTTGAGGAAAGTGGGATAGTCACTTATTAGCATTGTCACGTGTACCGCTGGCAGTCTACTCGCCCTCTAAATGTTTGTTTGTGCAGTGGGATAGTCACTTATTAGCATTGTCACGTGTGCTGCTGGCAGTCTACTCGCCCTCTAAATGTTTGTTTGTGTTTGCAGGGTTGGGACAGTGGGATAGTCACTTATTAGCATTGTCACGTGTACTGCTGGCAGTCTACTCGCCTTCTAAATGTTTGTTTGTGTTTGCAGGGTTGAGGAAAGTGGGATAGTCACTTATTGGCATTGTCACGTGTAGGCCTACTGCTAGCAGTCTACTCGCCCTATAAATGTTTGTGTTTGCAGGGTTGGGACAGTGGGATAGTCACTTATTAGCATTGTCACGTGTACTGCTGGCAGTCTACTCGCCCTCTAAATGCGTGTTGGTGTTTGCAGGATACGGATAGTGAGTTAGTGGAGTAGTGGCGACGTCAAGTGTACTGCTGGCTATCTACTAGCATTCTACATGATTTCTCTGTCTTTGCAGGATGCGGACAGTGGGTTAGTGGAGTAGTGGCGACGTCAAGTGTACTGCTGGCTATCTACTAGCATTCTACATGATTTCTCTGTCTTTGCAGGATGCGGACAGTGGGTTAGTGGTGTAGTGGCGACGTCACGTGTCCTGCCGGCAGTCTACTCGCCCTCTAAATGCCCGGATGGCGATGTATCTGTTTGCCAGTCGGATTTCGGCGGCAGTGTGTGTTCGCACCCCGCCGTCACCGACGCTCACCACCACCCCCGCGCCGCCGCCGTCGTCCTGGCCTGACCACGCCTCCACCTCCGTCACCACCGGGCGTCAGGTCTGCCTCCTGCAGCCGAGGAAGGCAAAGACCCACAAGAAGGTCAGTTATGGCTATTTACTATAGACCATTTTGTAACAGTTTAGAGCATTATTGATGACTTGGTTGATGAACCGTAGCTAGACTTGGCACGCTCAGTATTGTGTTATGAGTATTTGTCTAAGCAATGCTAGTGCATTACACTTGGTATCAGGTTCGGTTAAAAGTCAGGCAACCTGTAGGGTGCTAATGCGTCATTTAGTCGAGGCGGAGTGCTAGAGGGCCTGAGTATATCTGTGTTAGTACTTGTGTCAATGCATTTGGGTTAACAAAAGGAAAGTAACATCAATTAACAGACATAACAAGCTTGAAATATTTGACACTGTTAGTACTGTTTGTTAAGGGACAGGAGAAAAGTTCCACACACATGTAGCTAGCCAGTAGTAAAAGAATCCTGAATTGATCACACTACTTTCTAAAATCTTACTCTACTCTGTTGGACAAAGACCAAGGAATTTTTGTCACATCACTTCAAGTTGGGTCAACAGGTGACCTAAGCCCTCGGGACAGTTTTTCTTTCAGTTTATTTACCACATAGACCGCATTTTGGTCAATGCTGAGTTTCTGGGCACGCATATTACCTGAATGTGTGACACAAAGGCAGTTATCATCGGATTATGTCTACCGACTGCAGTCCTACATACTTTTGTGCCTCAAGTGCGTACGAGTGCTCTTCAGTTCTTCCTGATCCTGCCCAGTAGATGCCGATATAGGTATTCTAAACACAAACCTTAACAATCCGGTATATTAATATTTGTGAAATGCAATTCGGCTGATATTTTTTTACGATTGAAGGTGGTGTTGGCGGTGACGCCTGAAGACTTGGAAGGCCGAGTGCGAAACCCAGACAACCAGGGACATCCACCACCTTACCATGAGTCTGTGAGTATTGTAGTGTGCGCTTCACATAGATTTGTTAATACTTATAGAAACAAACACAATTGCTTTACCAACATCAATGACGGTATTTGGGAGTTGACAGCTGGTCTGACTATTTACTACTTAACTAAATACATTTATCATAATAGGTACAAGGTTATGAATTAGATATTGTATGGATGATAGTAGATATAATCTATAAAATTATTAGAGGTTTGTATGGCATCGTTTACTATGTTCGACAGACCATTATGATGAAAATGTTTTCGTGACGGCAAGTCTGAAAATGAAAACGTGTTTTTGTCATGAAACTGTTCTTATGGCTTACTGTAAATATGAAAACAGCAATTGCAGCTTACACATAAAAAAACGCATATTTGATGCAAAATACCCCCGCCGCAGTAATCCTGCCGACTAAGCGAATTTCCGTTTGTCTGAATTGATTTTCAGTTAAATATATTTTAATAACATTAGGTTTAACGATTACCTAGGTTTGCTGCTACAAGGAACTTAATAAAGTGTGTTTTTGAGTAGAATATTGATAGCTTAGTACAAAATAAATCAATTTGCCAAGTTTGATCAAAATATATCCATAAACAAGCAAATTACAACATTTGACAATATTCTCCATAAGAATAACATGGGAATTTTAAATTTAAAATTTTTTTAATTTTCTCCGTTACTTATAATCGAACAAAAATACTTTTATATACTAAATTATTTGTTTTTTTAAGCTCTTTAAAAAGGCCTAGAGAGAAATTGGGAAATTTAGTGTTTTGAGGGTCAAAAGTGAGAAAAACCAATTTTTACCCCATAAAACCCCCCCTAAAGCCCCGTTCCCATGGTCCGATCATGCTGGTTCGCGAACTCATTCAAGTTTATCTCGCTTTACACCTTTAAAACCAAATTTCATCAAAATCGGACCAATATTACTCAAGTTATCGCGTTCACGGACGTATATATATATATATATATATAAATCTCTATATATATATATATATATAAATCTATATATATGTATATATAAATCTATATATATATATATAGATTTATATATATAGATTTATATATATATATATATATACAAATTTTTACGAATGGTGTTTTTGGCCTCTGGGGACATCAAAATGAAAAAGTAAATCGGTCCCGGGTCTAGGTCTTACCGTGCCACCTACGGTAATAGCTACTTCCCTATAGGGAAATTCGCTAAAACTAGATATTTTGTGATATTTGAATATTAATAAGTAATCAAGGACACTATTTTGATACATACCACATCATATTACAAAATTAAACTGCTTTATACCAATAAAGATCCATAAGATGCCTGTAAAAATATTAATTTACTGCAATCGACAATCTAAATAAAATTGTTCAATATCATTGTGCTTGTAGGGTTCAGTGTGCATTTCCTACCTGCACAGGGTGATCGACAAGCTGTGATTTACGTGTTAGTTTTATTTTGTAATTAGTAGAAAGTATTATATATAATATTCTAATAAAATATTTGAGACTTACTTTTCTTGTATATAAGAAACAGCATTGATAAATAATGTAATCCATTTCATATTAACAGACTATTGTTCTAAATAATTTTAGAGTGCTGACGCTACAAGTCCATTTTTAATTAAAACAAAAGTGTTTAATGAAGGTGCTATAAAGATGATTTCTTTATCTGATGCAATTACACGAGAAAGATAATTAAGATCCTTTACTTTGAAAGTTAAGTAAGGTAATAAAAACTCTAGCTGCTTCAACTAAATCTTTGCCTTTGTAAAACAAAAAACATCCATTTGATATCAGAAATTCATAAAAGTTACAAACATATAAAATAAATATCACGTTTTCGTATTTGTGTTTCTCATTTTGAGTATCTCAGTATTACTACAGTAATACCATGTATTTCAAATATTTCAAAAGCCATATATAGATAATTTTTTTTCAAACCTAGTAGACCGACTCACATATTATACTATGAAATATTGCTAACTTATTAGGTATTTGTCATTGAAATAGAAACAAGTTAGATAATATATTTATATAGTACCAAGGCTTCACAACAGATAGTGTTATGTACTTATACTTAATAATTTAAATTATTTTATCTTTTGTTTACAAATCCAATGGCCTAAAGGAATACTAATAATATTCCTTGTCCTGACTATGTATTTGCAGGAGCCACCACCTCCCCTCGTGTACGAGGAAGGTCACTTGGTCTCTGGTACATTGGTGCTCTGACAGGTTTGCTGGTACCCACCACCAGCTCCTACACAGACAGAGGTTAACTATTAGTGTTACTGACTATGTATTTGCAGGAGCCACCACATCCCCTGGTTTACGAGGCAGGTCATTTGGTCTCTGGTACATTGGAGGCTCTGACATGTTTGCTGGTACCCACCACCAGTTCCTATACAGACAGAGGTTAACTATTAGTGTTACTGACCATGTATTTGCAGGAGCCACCACCTCCCCTCGTGTACGAGGAAGGTCACTTGGTCTCCGGTACATTGGAGGCTCTGACAGGTTTGCTGGTACCCACCACCAGCTCCTACCCAGACAGAGGTCAACTATTGGTGTTACTGACTATGCATTTGCAGGAGCCACCACCTCCCCTTGTGTACGAGGAAGGTCACTTGGTCTCTGGTACATTGGAGGCTCTGACAGGTTTGCTGGTACCCACCACCAGCTCCTATCCAGACAGAGGTTATCTGTTTGCATTCCTGCTAAGCTCCAGACTCTTCGTTCTTCCTCACGAGCTGCTAACCCAGGTCCTCGCCGCTTGTCACGCTCAGCAAACCAACATTGACAAACCATCGACTGCCAAAGTAAGTTAAACTTTAAAACATATGAATTTTTTTTTTTAATTGTTGATCAAAATTAGCTTTTGAAGACGCTGTAAAGTAATTTTCTTTTTACCCGGGATATAAAAGGAAATGAACGTTCATAAATATTTAGAAAGTAAATAATAAAGTAATGCAAACATCTTTTGCAGATTAATATAAAAAATACAAAAATCTCGAGCCAGAAAACCTAATTTTCGGCCCTAGTTAAGAAATTTACTATTGCAGCAGGATTGATCGGTGATAAAGTGAATTTATCTGGCCTGAGATTGCACAGATCATATCACTAACATTGCTATGAGGTAATTATTTGAAAATCATTGCTAACAATCCTATCACTCCATCGATGTATTTCATTGAAACTAATAAAACAGGTCGGGATGAGAAAGATTTCAATCATTACTATGGAATTTCATACAATACGATTTTAGAGAAAGATAATATTTTATTTATGATTTCAAAGCTTTAGTTACCAAAGCCAGGATGCAGATAATGATCACCTCGTCAGATATCGGTTGCTTTTGTCTATTATACCAATGGTTTGCGGTGAGCTGAATTTTATTAGAAATTCAATTTAAAAAGATTTGCCTACACGAATTTGTTGCTTACACATACTTTACTTACATTATAATAAGAACAGCAAAAGGTTTCAAGCACATAATATGTATATGTAAATAAACTGTTACACTGCTCAAGTGAGGAAATGGGTATAGAGTTTGCTGAATTCTCATCTCACCACCATACCATATCAGTGTTTTATCGCAGTTTTATTGTTTTTAGCTCGAGAAAATGGCCATTTACGGTGTTAAGGGATTTCCAAAGTCATAAAAAGTGTAAAGATAAGAAATGCGATTCTATTAGATTCCATAGTACTATCTTATAGAGTCAAACGTATTTTTTTGTTTGTGTATTCTTTTAAAACCTATTTTACTAAACCACTGATTTGTTAAGTTAGTAAACTTAATAAAAGATTTTTAATTTTAAGTCACACGTGTTTACTTATCTTAACACCTTTGGCATTTTTGAGATTTTTAAGGAACGCTTTAAACCCTGGACATTTATCCAAGATCAAAATTTGCATATATCGTGTCATGAACCTTATTAATTATCCTTTTAGCCTGTCTTTGATATTTTTAAATTAAATGTGTTTTGTTGTTTTACCATATGTTGAATATTTTAAATGCATTTCTTTAGGAGTTAGTCATGTCTTTGGAATGAATAAAGAAGCCTGCCGGTACGTAAAATTATTATGCTATTATGTTTTGCTAATTATTTCAAAAATAAAAGTATAATATGTCGTCATTAGACAGATAAATTACAAATTATATTTGGGTCAGTGGCAAACCCACTTAGTATTAAACGAATTCTGTAAATCTGAAGGTATTAACTCTACCCTGACAAATTAATGTCTAATATGGTATTTTAGAGCCTTAACAAGTTTGAAAATATATTTAAAAGTGTATTAATATCATAATGGGTGTATATACACTTGTAAGAATGACTTAACTTCTATGAAGGAGCGGCTGGAGCGAATCATGCCACCGATGGTGAAACTGCTGGAAGAGTGGACGGACATGTTCCCCTACGACTTCCGCGACGAGGCGATGACGGCGGCAGTCCGCGGCATCACCCAGGGCTGCGACTGTGTCCCCTGGGTCTGTGACGATGTGTCTCGACTGCTGCAGACTCTACTGGCCAGACTAGCCAAGCTGGACAAGTTCGAACACCAGCTGACCGCCCAGGACACCGGCCGCCCCGTCCACGACCGTATCAAGCTACCCGCGGTAATCATCTTTGTATTTTAAAATGGCCTTTTCAACAAATTGCTATTTAGTAATTTTAAAATTTAATTTTAAGCATTTATACTGAGTTAATACAACATATTCTTGGTTGTTAGCAACGGATTGCCTGTAACAGTTTGATGTTTTCAGGGGGAATGAGAAATAGCGGGAAGTTACATAAGGAGATTAATATATTCCCGGGAATTAAAAGTAATTTTAGAATCAAGTTGAAATGATGTATTATAAAATTGTAATTATGAATAAATTTGAAATCCCAAGCTACAAATTAATATAGAATTATCCATAAGTAACTACTTTTTATACAGTAGATTAACTACTATATTGTAACACAATGAACTTCGCAGTTATCTGATTACTGATTTGCAGTTTTATCTGAAGATACCAAGTATTCCCCTTCTTTTATGTGAATTGAAATAGTTATTAGTATTTCAGATTTCAAAACGGTGGCATTTAAATACGTTTAAACGCCACTCTGGTCAACGATGTCATTTGCAGAACGTTAATTACTGAGCTAAAATACTGTTGCCCCAGGAAATTCAATGTAATATGGGCTGAAATATTCCATAATATATCTTAAAAACACATATTATGTCAAGTGCATTATACATCCTGAAGCTTAACATGAAACAGTTATATTTGTTACGTTTGATTTATATCACCTATTAATAATTGTTTGTTTATACCAAACCTTCAAGGAACGCCATTGGTTAGGAGAGCAATGATGTTGACATTCTATTAGAGAACACCAAAACATATAATGAAACTTTTTATAAGTCGTTTGTGTCTTTAGACGCTTTAATTACGATATTGTTAGGTTAAACTAATTTAATAACCCCTTGGTTAACATTATCAAAAAACATACGACTCCTTAATGCTTCTTATGAATGCTAAGATTTGAAGATATTGGGTTCAAATGGTATGGGATGACTAATAAATAAGTGATATTTGTATAAAAGATGAACTATATTCTCGAAAATCTCTGTACTATTCCAAAGATAAATTATTATCCTCAGAAATACATGATCTGTAGTCTGTTCATGAACCAACAAATCCATAGGGGGTTCAAAAATTGGCAGTTATAAATGACCTTGTCTTCACTGCTATCACCACAAACATGGCTATGTGACTTTAACTGTGATAGTAATACACTTTTGTGGATGATCGCAGAGACTAGTATAAAGTTTCTTTTATTATGAAAAGAAGCTGCATATAATAACAGATTTAAATGTTATAATTTAGTTTTTGAACTCTTTGACGTTGGTGTAAGTCATACGTATGACCGGAGGAGTTTGTTCTAGGATACATGCATGACGTCTCTCATCCTCTACAACAGCTGTGTCAAAGCAGTGTTTGTTCTCAGACAGATGCAGCAGAAGTCTGTCGCTCTCCCTCGATGTTGGCTCAGCAGCTGACGGCCGTGGAGTTAGAGAGAATGTCGTATATAGGACCGGAGGAGTTTGTTCTAGGATACATACTTGACGTCTATCATCCTCTACAACAGTTGTGTCAAAGCAATGTTTGTTTTCAGACAGATGCAGCAGAAGTCCGTCGCTCTCCCTCGATGTTGGCTCAGCAGCTGACTGCCGTGGAGTTAGAGAGAATGTCGTATATAGGACCGGAGGAGTTTGTTCTAGGATACATGCTTGACATCTCTCATCCTCTACAACAGCTGTGTCAAAGCAATGTTTGTTCTCAGACAGATGCAGCAGAAGTCTGTCGCTCTCCCTCGATGTTGGCACAGCAGCTGACTGCCGTAGAGTTAGAGAGAATGTCGTATATAGGACCGGAGGAGTTTGTTCTAGGATACATGCTTGACATCTCTCATCCTCTACACATTACCAACACTAGCAACCTTGAGGCCTACATCTCCTGGTCTTCTCGCCTCAGCTATCTGGTCGCGACTGAAATATGCAAGGTATATGTTCATGTTGTTTGTTTAATTTCAAAATGTTGGTTAATCAGTGTCAATGTCTATATTGAAAGATGTTACAGGCTTGTAAGATTAAAGATATAGAAATTCAAACAGAAATGTTGCCACCTTAAAGTTAGTAATGTCATATTAAATTAAATAATCCATTGAAAAAAAAACATAGTGGCCAACAGATTTGATAAGTTTCGAAAAAGTCAAAAGTAAACTACATTTTCAATCCACCTTGCTTACACTTATAGGGGTGAACATTTAATCATTCTTTGTGATTTTTGAGGCAATTTAATGCAAATATGTGTAGTGTACATAGTTATAACTACCAAAAATACCTACTAATGTAAATACTTAACACTCTCTTATGTAGTATAGATTATAGAATGACAATTAGGTCATTTTCCAGTACTCAATGAAAAAGCAGCGGGTGAAAATGACCGAGTTCTGGGTGGAAGCTGCCAAGGAGTGTTTCAACATCGGGAACTTCAACTCTCTTGCTGCCATTTTAGGAGGACTAAACATGGCCCCCGTCTCAAGACTGTCTAAAACGGTAACTTAATTATGATAAATAGAATGCCTACGTTATATGATTCAATATAACTTGTATACCATCAAACTAAATACTAGGACTGCTTTCATAGCACTGAAATCCAGTTAAGCGGAACTATCAAGTTTTATGGTTTTAAATAAACACATTTTTTATAGATATATTACAAAATAAAACTACTGTATTTCATAAATGTAACTTATCAGTTTCGCTCAGAACTATCAACATGTATAAGTTTAATTAGTAAAGGTGTGGACATTACATACATATCCTTTGTATCGATATTTTCCTGTGTTTGCTTGCTAATGTCATCTGGTGGTTCTGGTTAAACTCGACCTTGAGCCTAACCAATCGAAATTTTCTCAATCTTGGCCAGATTTTGCAGCTCAGACAGAAATAATCCTGCATGGATCCATACGATTAGCAGATGTAACTTTTAAAAAATTTGCCTGCTTTGAGAGAATTGAACAAATAGTTGTCAACATACCTTGTGATTTTTGTTTTCTTACATTTGGTACATTTAACATAATTATAAAAAGAATTGTTTTCAAGTAAGTGTTCTACTGACAAATATCTCAAAACATTGCTAGAAGTAGTTGTTCATGCGTTTCGGGAGTTTCTTGCTCGTCTTAATTTTATACAAATATCTGGCAGTTTTTGAGAATGCATTCTGCAATTTTCCTATGACACTCTTATGCGAATTAGGTATATTCTTATAAATCGAAAACGCAAAAAAGGTTTAACCTTCTTAGGCACTAATATACCCCAAGTCGTTGCCAACCCAATAACAATCATGCTTCGTCGCTAGTCCCAACTGTTTATAATCCATGGCTTGTATTGTCTCCACGGAAAACTCCACGGATAATCTCAGTATTTTCTACTGTGATTCTGAATTGATTATCAGTGTGAGTAATCTTGAAATATTTTTCTGAGAAGGTGTGTTAGTATTAGAACAAGGACTAACGGACTAACTAGCTTACTTAAGGACTAACGGTTTTCATTGATACACAGTTTCAGTGTTATATGAATGCTATTTTTGCTTCTAGTGGAGTAAGACTGTGAAGACTGGCGGTTCAAGGCAGGCCATTTATTAATAATCAGTTTCAGTGTTGAATGTACGTTACTTGTGTTTGCAGTGGAGCAAGAGCAGCTGTGAGAGACTGTCGGTTCTCAGACAGGCAATGGACGCCACCTCTGACCATGACAACTACCGCTCCACGCTCAAAGCTGCGGTGTGGAGGTCTGTTGGTAGCTCTGGACAGAACATCGTCGTTCCTCTCTTCAGCCTTCTTGTGAAGGACCTTAACAACCTCACCGAGTTGTGTTCAAAAAAGTAAATAAATAGTGATTCTGTATATTTAACTACTCCGTATATTTAAACGATGCATGAATAAAAAAAATATTTTCTCTATAAAATAAAACATTGTAGAATATAATTTTATGTTCTGATAGTCGCTTATATCTCTAGAGAATTGTTTCGTAACCGTGCAAATCCTACACGCAACATGAAACGGGGTTTCGAGAGCTACTTTTATGATTTCCCTATTGGATGTAGACTCGTTAGAAGTTAAAATTATGAAAATGAAGCGGATCTTACAGCATTTTATTTTACATGAATGTTAAAACAGTTAAACTTTGAAACTGTGTTAACACATCCATAAAAATGTCCTTAGTTTTATTTTCGAACAGTTAATAGTGTATACATGATATTATCACGAATCTATATTTAATATAGACTGAATACACTATCATAAAACGTCGTAAATGAAAGTACTTACCAGAATTGCTACCTTAAATCAGTAACTCGCTTGGAACAGACATATTAACAAGCTGACAACTAATAGCTCATTTAACTTTAATTGGCTCATTTGCAAATTTTATTCTTTTTTACTAGGCTACAGCAAAACGACTACTTAGCCTAAGTGAGTAGTTTGAGGTTGTTGCATTGTACAGGCTGTCAACCTAATATTTTTGTACGTTTGTATACAAAATCCTTATTTACTGGAAATGTACAGTATCATTTGTATTGGTTTTTTAGATTATTACGTTGGTCGGTTTTTAATTGTTAACCTATGGCAAGTCTCATTTATTCTGTGTTGAAAACGCACATTCCTACGATGGAGTTTCTTCTTGAAAGAACATGTTATATAGATATTACGTCTATAACTTTTAAAACTGTCTTGCTCTCTGGTTTACTATAAGCAACGCCGATGGTTATAACAAAGGTGCAATGATGTCCCTAGGTTGTCGAACGGCCACATCAACATGGAGGCAGCGTGGTCGCTGGCGAAGAGCCTGGCAGACTTCATCGGCTGGCAGCAAACCACTTGTCCTTTCCCACGCTGCTCCAAGGCACTAGCTTACCTGCAGGGCTCTCCCGTCCTGTCTGAGAATGGTACAGTACTTTATACTTATACTTTATACTTTTCAATGAAATAGCGACCCTACAATAAAGTAGATATTTTAAAGTATGAATGAAGATGAGTGTAGGATGAGTGGAGCGATCTTGTTTCCTTGTTAGTGACTTAGGCCGACATATTTCTTAGACACAGCTGTTAATTAATAGCCCATACAGCCGATAACAACTGAGGGAACTACAGAGTTTATAGTTGAATAAAAAAAAACATTTTTGCCTTGGTTAACGAATTGGTCTAAATATCATGATAGTACTGGGGATACTCTTAGTACTCACTAGTGCGGACGTTAATACACACCAGGGAGTATCGTATTCATAGTGCATGCCTATAAATATCCAAAATTTTAATATATTAGTTTTTTTAGCGAATTTCCCATATAGGGAATAAGCTATTACCGTAGGTCTCATGGTAAGACCTAGACCCGGGACCGATTTATTTTTTCGTTTTGAGGTCCCCAGAGGCCAAAAACGCCATCCGTTCAAATTCATATATATATATATTATATATATATTTATATATATATATATTTATATATGTGTCCGTTAGCGCGATAACTCAAGCAAAATTGATCCGATTTTGATGAAATTTGGTACAAACGTGTAAACCTACATTTATTTGAACGAGTTCGCAAACCAGCATAATCGGACAATGGGATCAGGGGTTTATGGGACGTTTTATGGGGTAAAAATGGGTTTTTCTCATTTTTGACCCTAAAAACTTTAAATTTCTAAATTTCTCTCTAGACCATTTTGAAGAGCTTAAAAAAACAAATAATTTAGTATATTGAAGTTTTTTTGAATGTTCATTGACTAGGGAGAAAATTTAAAAAATTGTAAATTTAAAATTCCCATGTTATTCTTATGGAGAATAAATAAACTGTTCTAGTTTGCTTGTTTATGGATATATTTTAATCAAATTTGGCAATTTGGCTTATTTTATACTAAGCTATCAATATTTCAATTGAAAAAACACACCTCAACATCTTCCCCGTAGCAGCAAACCTAACTACTCACTAAAATTAATGTTATTTAAATAGGAAATAAATCTGTAAATTTATAGGGAATATTTTAGTAGAAATCAAGCCGGGTAAATGGAAATTCGCTTAGTATGCAAGCTTGCTGCGACGGGGGTATTTTATATAATAAATTTCTAACAAACAACAATATACTAACCCCCAGTATCGGAGAAAAATTGCTTACACTCTTACGATATGATATTTAGAGAATTTAATCAAGACAAAACATTTAGGTTAGATTATTAATTGTGTAAGCTGGTCATTGGTCAATGCTATACAGAACTTTGGACCACTGTGTCAGAGATTTATTCTATAAGGTTCAATGGAAAGCAAACATTTGAATGTCAGTAAAGATTCTGCTTGCATCGTCAAACTAAATAAACTACTGTATGATAAACATAGGTAAACTACTTTGGTAAACTACTATATGGTAAAACAAAACATAGGTGTGTTTAGTCTACCAATGGGTTTTAGCTTATCCATCAAAGTCTCATCAATACAAGACAGTTAAATATAAATGTAATTTGTGTGAAATTCATCTCGCCATTTCCCATTAGTATGTTTATAATTGCTTTACGTTTTTCCACTTTACGTTTTGGATATTTTTTATAAAGGTAACGTGTATGTAAAAAAATACTTGTAAAACATTAATAATTTATTTTAAGGAAACAATACAAACATTAAATAATATAAATTTAACTAAACATTGTTTATGACAACAGCAATTTTGGGTAATCAATCAAATGGTTTATTATAGAATCAACATTCAAACAGTGGTTACTAAAAATATCTTTATAAATATTGCACACCGACCTTGTCATATTTATCATAATTATAAGCTGCTCGATAGAAAATACATTAGAATTATTGAAATATTCGCTTTAACACAGTTAATTTCAACATTCAACTAGGATTTTTGCAAACCCTTTCACAAAAACTTTGAAATAACAAGTGTAAAAAACGTAAATATTGTTTACAATGTAAAATGTGTATAAAACATAATCTGACTCACATGTATAGTAAAATAGCTTATGTGTGTAATTGATTGATTAATTAATGCATTCGGAAAACCTTTGATCTCAAAATCAAACAAGCATGCTTCAACCTATTTCAGTTACATAAATATTAGATGCATTCATTCGATTCGGATCCAAGCGTTCATACAAATCATCGATATCAGCATTATATCAAACGGACATACCATAGCTCAATTAGAATGCTTCAATCATGATATGAACATCATTGAAACTATCTTATTCGCAATAAAATATTAATCAATTCATCTTTTCCTGACTTCTCCATACGGATTGATACAGTGATACAAAATCTTGTCTATTATTGTTGTTTCAACATGTTCTATATACTTTTCAGCGCTGATGATGGCGTCTTTTGACTGCGAGCCTCCAGAAACTACAATGGAAAAAGAACACTACATTACACTGAAGTAAGCAGGTACTATATTGTTACATACTTACTAAGTCAAGCTCTGTCCATTGTTAATGTGTTGTATAAAAATAATTATATATCTACATGAATGTTATTAACTTCTGTTTTTATTTCATGTTGCAGGTTTAACCCTGCCGAACACTGAACACTTCCGACCTGCTCATGTCGTTAATCCTATGTACAATGTACAAACATACGAAGATGACCAAAGTGGATTTATTGTTGATAGAAGGAATTATTCAATTGTTGGATGAAACTATCTGAGAAATGTTTAATTGCTGTAAATTGTTTTAAATGTACAGTATTAGATTTTAAAGGGTTAAAGACTGTGATTTTGTGATATGTTTGTAAATAATAAATTTTGTACCGAAGATTTTTAATAAACTTAATATTTTTTTCAAGAAAAGATCTTTGATTAAACTCACCTTTCTCCTAAGGTTTTGTAAACATTTTTTTGTATAGCAAAATTTTCGAGTATATAGAACCTCGATAAAAATGCTCTCATGGCAATTACTAATTAAGAAAAGTGAATAAGGTTAATATTTTATTGAGGTTTGCATTAACATGTGTTTAGTGGTATTAGTTTTAGAGGTCCCACTATATACATATAACATATATATATTAAATTTTAAACACATTTCGTTTCCTGTAGTTTTTTTCTTTCTCTCTGAGGAACATATAAAATGCACAAAGATTAAGGTCGATTAAGAAAAATAGTATAACCTTGCATTTATAAGCTATTAACAATAGTGGACCGAAAAAGGACTATTAAATTCAAGACAATTATCCTAAAGGAAAAAGTATTCAAGTTATGAAATTCAAAGGATATACGTTGAAGAAAATTGCAATAAAATCATGCATTCAAAAATCAACTGTTGTTATACTTGCCAAATACAAATCATATGTTTTGTAGTTGATATGGCAAACACGACTTCAATTAATGTAGAATTTCCATGCAATATGTTTATGGCGACAATTTACATCTGTCAGATGATATCGCCGTCATTGTTCAGCGTTCTAATTGGCTTAGTTACCATCAATCACCATCACTATCCAATAGCCTTTACCAAACTTCCCTATCCGCGTACTCTAATTATATTTAGTTTTTTATGGTTGATAAATAAATAATTACTAAATCGTGAGATTTCTTAACACCATAGGCTTAAAGTGTAACTATTTAATAACACAGTTTAATATGCCTGGGGTCCTATGAAGAGGAAAATACATACACTCTACACAAATTCTAGACACTACAAATACAACAAAAATAGTTGTATAAACTCGTAAGCAATGAAAGAACCTAGTCTCATTTGATTACGACCGATTAAAAAATCAGATCATATAAATAATGGTTCGTTAAAGTTATTACTTTTAACACAATTTCTATTGATTTCTTGGTTATTATTAAATATTACTTAGCTATAATTTTGTAGAGCACTTAATATGTATTTATTAAATGCATAAATCTTTTTTTAGATTTTGTGAGTTGAAAATGAAGAGCCTTGAGCTGTCATTATCTCAAGTTTAAACCTAATGGAATCCAGTTCATGACGGGTTCCTGTATAATTATGCGTTCCATTAACACAATTTTTAACTAAACTAATATACGAGAACAATATGCTCCTAGTAAAACAAGATACTTAATTAAGTTTATTAAAGAATGGATGGTTTTAATAGAATTGTTCTTGTCATTTTTTTACACAATCAGTTAACAATTTGAGTTGTAATGTTTAAAATGGCCCTCATTGTTTAATAACTAATATTTTAATATTAACTATAATATAATTCTAGATTTGTGTTCTATTTTGACCCAATAAACCTATCCCTGATTTTTTTGTATTTACTCATGGGACACCCTGTATATATAAATCTATATTAAATCATGGAAAGTGCTACAGTGTTTATCAATTGTTGCTGAGAGTCGTAGGATGTATTTACAAAATACATCCACTAATCATGTAAATATTTGTGACTGTAGTATAGTTATGTATTTATTTATCTATTTTTATAACACTAAGAAGGGATTTTCAATTATGAATAGTTAAAGATATTGGGTATTTATTTGCTCCAAATGTAGAGTAGAATTTCAAGAATAATTAAGTACAAAATGTTTAAGCGTAATTGTTTGAAATTTAGAACATAGACCTTTTTCAAAGCATGATTAGGTTGTGTGAACTGTATGCCTATTTTATTTTTCAAAAAAACAAAATTAATCACCATACGTATAACTAACAAAATAAAGGTTTTTAGGACAAAATATAGGACTGATACAACTGACTTTAAATATCAAAAATAATGTATAAAAGTAAAATGTCGGTACTGATTAAATCAAACAAAATAAGGTATAATGCAAATAGCAACAAAAACTTGTAAATAGCAATAAGTGCACGTTGTATATTGGTCAATATTTAAAAAGGAGCAATACATTTAGAAGCTCTTAAAAGTTTCACATAATCTTGGATCACTGCAGATAGTCAGAGTCACAAATAACAAGAAATGCGATGTTCTTCCCTTCCTGTAATTTTTGCTGACAAACTCCCCCAATTGTAAACAGTCCAACATTCAATATTAGTTTAATATATAATAATTATAAAAAATATATATATATAAACTAATGTAAATATCAATAAAATAGTCGAATTCAGTATGATTTATGTAAACTGTACAACAATTAGACAGTCCTAGATATAATTTATTTTTCGTAGTTGAAAATTCGCTTTTTATATACACTCAAATGCGTAATTGAGAATGTTATATACCATTATACGGGTGGAAAAGAAGTCCCGGGACGGTTGAATATTTCAAAACGTAATAATGATGCGCTAACTCCTCTGAGGAATAAACAAAATCTTAAACATAAGCATATGTTGATATGACTTTCAAATTAAACGTCTTTGATATTAAAATACAATGCCACAAACCCAAACTCAAACTAAAAACTAAGTAAAAAATTACAGCAATTCAAATATGTATTACATTTGCATTGCTATTGTACGCTACCTATTCAGGAAGGCGCCCGCTAGGAGTCGCAAAAAATCGTAAACGTATGCTGTTGATATGCACATAGTTATTGGTCTTAATTAGTAGATTACAATGCCACAAATTCGAGCTCAAAAGAACAACTTAGTAAAAAGTGGCAGCCGTTCTGCCGTTCAAAGATTCAAAATGGCAGAGTAAAAATATCTTTGAACGGTCATTTTTGACTCGGACGTCCGTTTGAGTTCAAATTTGCGGCATTGTATTGTACTAGTGAAAATCTTTAATTGTATGTGCATATAATTCTGTGCAAGACATATCCCCTAAGGAAGTAGCACATCACTGAGTAATGTTTTAAAATTATTTTAATGCCCATTAGTTGCGTACCAAGTTTTAAAGCTCGATCTATATAACTTTTTGAAATATTAAACTGCCCCGGGACTTGTATTCAATTATCTTCCATAGAAAGGAAATGCAGGATTCTTTAACACACTTTGACATATTAACAAAAGAAATAGTCTGTGTGGTTGAACGTATTTTCTAAACCGTTATAAATTAATTAATTAATATAACTTATAATGAATTTCTTTAAAGCAGAGTTATTATTATATTCGATATCATATTTTTTTTCTAAAATAGTGATGTTGAGATCAAATTGTACTGATTGAATATTAATCGAGCATGCTTTTTTGAAATGATGATGTCTCCACTAATACTTTGTAAAATATTATCGAACATATTTTTGAGCGCAGAAAGGTTGAACATCGTTAAAACTTCGTAATCCATCCAGTAAAACTCTAGACGAAAACATTTGATGGAATGTAATGGAGGAAAACCTTTTAGCAAGTCATTGTTTGTGACGGAGATTGGCAGTGGTGGGTCGAGATTGGATTGGAGCGGTTCAAAGTCCTTTAATATATTACTGTATTTTTATACGTATCTCGAATAAAATCTACTTTATGATCGACTTTCATATTTTAATATAAAAATAAAAACACGATTAAGTAAATAACATTAAGTTAATAAATTCATACCTCCAGTAAGATGCTTTCTAAAACTAAGATTAAATTAAATTAAATTAAATTAGATTAAATTGTGCTTCGAAGTATATTTGCTTAGCCTAATAATACTTTTTATAATTATTTTAAAATTAAACTAGCAAGTTAAATTTTAGTAAAACTTGATTAAAGAAAAAAATAAATTCGTAGTTTTATTAGCTGGGTAATGTTGTATTATTTGTAGAATATTTGGGAAAATTTTATTTAGTAAGGCATACGTAAAATCACAATGGACATGATGACTGGGTTTTGTCAACATTTTTACACATATCTTGTTAAGAAAATAATTGATTAATTAACGTGACTGATTATAATTGGGCTTTAAATAAATGACCCTGACTGAAGAAACAGCTGATCTTATCTTCAAGAAAAAAAGAAGAAAGAAATAGCTGATCTAAGTTCAGAGCAAAAGCTACACTGGTCATCTTACCCTATTCTACACTCATCCTTTACTCATGTTTGTGTTAAAATACGCACCTAGGTGTACGTCAAATAATTGATAATTGAAAGTAAATACATCCATCAAAATGTTGATGATGAAAAATATATTTGTTGGCTCAACAACATATAGTGATAACACAATACCACATACATCCTAGTTAGTTCTCGCTCTCACCATGTTATCACCAGTAGGCTAAGTGAGCTGCTAGTTAGTGGAGTGACGTCATTATCACCAACACTGCTGATGACAGAGCTAGGTGAACAAAATTGTCAACAGCTTGTTACAGCAGATACAAATTACGGTTCTCAAAATCAATTTCAAGATATCTTCAATTGTTGGCCATACACTTTCCGTGAATTTTAGTATGTTACAAAACGAAGTACTTCGTATACACAAAATTGAAACTCATATCAAAATATTGGCATTATTTAAACTCTTGGCTTTCCTTTAATATGCTGCCTTAAAAGTCTGGGAATGAACTGTGATTGGGAAGCGGATACGGTGTATTTCACCAAATATACAGCCGTATTGTAATTTAGACTCTGTAAAAATGTGCTTACACGTGTAATTGTTGTTAATGGAAATAGCACATGATGACAGTACCTCGATGTTTATTTAAGTATTTAAAATATGGAAAATTTAAGGTGTGGCTAGGAGATGTTTGGTAACTAAAACCATTGACTATTGGATACTAAAGTAGTTATATTAATTGTTTCATAGATAGTCAAAGCTAAATCATAAATACTATAAGGTGTCCCGTTACTCT